CCAGGTCTGTCAAATCCATTTTACCTCACAAATTGGACAGCCGTATCTGTGTGTTCTCTATCAGCCATAAGAAAATGGTATTCTTTTGATTGGTAGTATTGGATTTTATTTTTGGATGTTCTCTCTTTTTATTAAGGGTGAGGAAAAATATCTAGACAGTGTTCAATATTTTTGAAAGCACATGATATTTACAAAGGATAAGCCCAGAATAAACCTTAAAGCATTTGATAGACATTACTTCATGAGCCTTAGAACTCTCTTTGAGACAAAATGGAGGAGCAAAGGACAAATATCTATCGAGGGCCTGCTATACACCAGGAACTGGACTGGGTAATTTATACGAGTCATCTCCTTTAGTCCTCACAAACCCTATGAAATGGGTATTCTTATCTCCATTTGAAAACGAAGAAAACTGAGCTAGGTGAGATAAGTCATTGGCCAAAAGTGACACAGAGGAGAAATGAAAGGGAACTAGGATTCAAATCCAGCTCTGTGACTTCAAAACTCATGCTCTGAGTGGCTTACAACGAGGAAAAAATCTGGAAACAACCTAAATGGCAACATAGAAATTGATTACATAAATTGTAGTATATCCATACAAAGCAGTCATGGCAAATGACGGTATAGATCTATTTTTATTGACAAGAAAAGATGTTAACATGTCAAGTAAACAGGGTAGATTATAAAAATAGAATATATTATATGATCCCTTTTGAGATATACATATAATTTTATATGTATACTTGCATTTATATGTTATGTTATATGTTATCACTAGGTGGTGGGATTTGAAGTGTGTTTCTTCTTGTTATTCATTTATAGTTGGTCTACGATGAGCTTGTATTACCTGGATGGTTGGATGGATAGGTAGATAGACTGAGAGATACGTAGATACATAGATAGATATAGAATATATAAAAAGATATAGATAGAGTTTACAGATCTAGTGATTAAAAAATAAGACTGTAAGCACATCTGATATTTGAAAAGCTCTATTTATACAATTCAAGAATATCTAATGGTGTGCAACATACTTGGAGAGTTCAGAAAAATATCTACAAATCTATCTGTATATCAATATCTATACATGTATAGATATATTATTTTCTATTTATATGTATAAATGTACAGATACAGACAGAGAATGAGAATATCTATACATTTATAGACAGAATGAAAGAATAATATGATAAAGCAAATGTAGCAAAATGGTAACAATCAGGGAATCTGGGTAAAGGGTATATGGGAGTTCCTAGTGCTATTCTTTCAACTTTTCTGTAAGTTTGAGTTACCTCAAAATTAAAAAGTTTAAAGAATACATATTTTTATATTTCAAACACATAACATCTGGTACAAAATAATACTAATTTAGGGGCTGGCCCCGTGGCTTAGCGGTTAAGTGCGTGCGCTCCGCTGCTGGCGGCCCGGGTTTGGATCCCGGGCATGCACCGACACACCGCTTCTCCGGCCATGCTGAGGCCGCATCCCACATACAGCAACTAGAAGGATGTGCAACTATGACATACAAGTATCTACTGGGGCTTTGGGAAAAAAAGGAGGAGGATTGGCAATAGATGTTAGCTCAGAGCCGGTCTTCCTCAGCAAAAAGAGGAGGATTAGCACGGATGTTAGCTCAGGCTGATCTTCCTCACAAAAAAAAAAAAAAAGATAACACTAATTTAAAAGAGACCCTACTCCACCATTTCTCTCCTTCTTGTGCTCTCCCTCTTGGTACTTGAAGCAAGAGCCCCATAATCAATTTTTGAATTCATCCTTTAGAGTGCTTATCACAGAATAACTTGGGATTTAATGGGTTGTGTCTTTCCCAGAGCAGAGAATTATATGGGAAGCCTCCCATTTTGTTTCATAAGGCCAGCACAACCTTAATAACAGGAGTTGACAAACCTAGCAGACAAAAATCCATGGAGCAATGTGAACCATAAATATAGACACAAATGTATGAAACAAAATACTAGCTTATTCAATTCTATCAATGTCTTAAAAGAAAATAATAAACCATTCATAGGTAGAATTTATTTCAAGATTATAAAGTTAGTTCAGCATGGGAAAATCTAGAGAAGTTATAAGAGATGCTCCAGGGCCGGCCCCGTGGCTTAGTGGTTAAGTGCACGCACTCCGCTACTGGCGGCCTGGGTTCGGATTCCGGGTGCGCACCAACGCACCGCTTCTCCTGCCATGCTGAGGTTGCGTCCCACATACAGCAACTAGAAGGATGTGCGACTATGACATACAACTATCTACTGGGGCTTTGGGGGAAAAATAAATAAATAAAAATTTAAAAAAAAAGAGATACTCCATCTGAGTCTCGATAAAAAGTGAAGAGACACTTTTCTTGAGCAATGCCTTTTTGTGAACTAAGAATAACAGAACACAATCAAGAATACCTATTAGCAACAAAGAAAAAAATATATTGGGAGGAAATACTGGAGGCTTTACCACCCAAGCCAGGAATAAGAAAATTATACCCATTATCCTTGCTGTTATTCAACACTGTTCTGGAGGCTCTAACCAATATAGTAAAAGGAAAAGAGAGGCAAAAATTATTATTGTTTCTTAATTTTATAATTACCTCTCTAAAACAACCCCAAAGAAGCCACCAAAAGGCTATTAATTAATAAGACAGTTCTAATCAGATCTTATATAGATATATCAAAGCTTTACACCAGGCATCAAGAGTTGGCAAACTTTTTCTGTAAGGGTCAGAGAGTAAATACTTGAGGCTCTCTAGGCCACACGGTCTCTGTAGCAACTATTCAACTCTGCCACTGTAGCACAAAAGCAGCCATTGATAACACAAAAATGGATGAGTGTGGCTGTCATCCAATACAACTTCATTTGCAAAAGCAGGCAGTGGGCTGGAATTGGCCCACGGGCCATAGTTTGCTGACTCCTACTTTATACCACAAGAAAACAGTTGATGGAGAAAAGTTACCATTCAAAACAGCAACAAAATATATAAAGACCTAGAAATAACTTTCTAAAGGGTGATTCTGCTGTATGCATCAAAAATTAAACTGTGAATACTCTTTCAACATAACAATTCCGTTTCTGGGAATTTATCCTAAGGACACATTTAGATAAGGAGATAAAGATGTGTACACATGGATATTTATTATAATGTTATTTATAATAAGAAAAGATATCCCCTGACATAATCCATGTCTACGAGAAATACATCAGTTTTTAAAGCAGGTGACAGAGTAGTATGCATAATATCAGCTAATTTTTTAAATATATGAGTGTGTGTACGAGGTTACGCATATGCACCCATACATGCAAAAACACCTGGAAAGATAAATACTCAATTGCTTCATTAGCAGTTATTTCTAGGGGTGGATTTATGGGTGACTTTCTTTTTATTTTTTGCATGTTGTTTTTGCTCTTTTTTTATTGTCCCAACTGAACTTGGAAATAAAAATTTTTCATTTTTTAAAAGAAGCAAGCAAACAAAAAACCCCTGTGCTGCTCTGAACAATTTACTCTTATTTCTATGAATTTTGGAGGAGTCCGTATACAGTATCCTTCTCAAAGCACATCAATACTGATTTTAATTTTTACAATGACATCCCCAGAAAGTTCTTTAAATTACTGTAACTGCTTCATGCTCTGAAGATACGAATCTTTTGACTATAACTAATATAAAAGGAGCATCTATCTGGAAATCTTGTCTTTTTCTTATCCTTCAGTGATATTTCTGCGTGCATGATTATGTGTGTGTGTGCACGCACGCATGTGCACATCTCTCTCTCTAGGAAGAAAAGAAGCCAGAGAAAGGAAAGAGAAAATAGGCAAGAACGGTAGGTGAAGGACCAACATGAGTTAATATCTTACAGGGAAATAAGTATTAGTAAATTCATTCCTCAAGATCTTATTTATGGTTCTATAGTACAGGAATCTCACCTGTTGGGTTAGGGGAAAACTCTGATATTTTTGAAAATTCTCATTTATAAGTTATAATTTATGAAGACTAAGTTTGGGCCTCCTAGTAGAAAATATAAGTCCATATGATTTATATCTAATTGCGAAATTTAAACACATTTTTCCTTACAATTGTCAATAGGTATCTAATTATTTTGCCAATAGTTTCAGTTGTTATAATGTATATATAAATTGATACATATTTCATTTTCATGTACTTAAAATCTTGAGGAAATGGAGATGGGGAAGAAAGAAAAATGATGATTCTTATAACTTCTCAGAAATTCTTTGTAGGTGTTACTGAACACCAGTTATATGGCATAACTCACAGTTATCAAAGAGAAAAACACACATACTATTTTCGCCTCCTCAAAACAATTACTACCTTATCTGGCCTTGAAATCTCCCTACTTCCCTCCTGAAGTGGCTTTCTCCAATAGCTCAGCATAAAAATTAGATCCAATGCAAACAGAAGATCCTCTGGTAAAAGACATTTCCAACTTTTGAAGAGTTTGTGCATGCACATGTTTGTATGTATGTGTGAGCTTGTCGTTGCTAGAGAGGACGTGGGAGAAAAGACAGTCTCCCCAGAGCCAACTTAGAAGTTAACAGGAAAAATATGACAAACACAAGGTCATCCAGAGTTCTCAAAAATGATGTCAAAAGACGATGAGGTGTTAAGTACATTTTGTAAGCCATGAAAATCCAGGACACAATGACCCAGTGACGAAGTCTGCTCTAAACACAAGAGACAAATAAGTATATTGATAACATAATTTTCATTAACTACTCCTTTGCTCCCAGTCTCAATCAAATGCTATTTATCCTTTGGCAGAACTTACTATTATCAAATGTGAACATAATGACCTATGCTAGGCTTGCACTGAGATCTGGGAGACGAATTCCACAACTTTCCTTTCAATCTTCCATTTTAAAAAATCTTGGAAATGAATTTAGTATAGTTAAAAAGCGAGCAGTCATGTTTCAAATCCAAAACTATCTTTTTCTTGTCAAATATTGCTCTCTGTAAAGTGCATCACCAAACCCCAGCAGAAACTTACCCTTCAACTTGAGGTCAACATTATGTCTCAGCCAAGGATAAACCCCATAGCTTGGCATATCTTCAGGAATTGGATTATTGTTGATCCAGCCATCACAGGCGAACCGGAAGAAATTATCACAAGGGTCCACAGACAGATTTACTTTACTCAAGATGGCAGCGGCTATTTAAAAAGAAAGTCACAGGATTAACAACAAGCACTGAACACTGTGTACTGTTCTCTTCCAAATTAATTTCATACAATCAGTTCCCAAGCCTCGGCTTTTATATTTCCCCTTAAATGACTCCTAGAATTAACTTCACTCTATTAATTTATTGCATTCAGAGTTAGTGGATAAAAGTTTGGAGGTATTATTGTTGCTGTTTTTTACAGGACTGCCCCTAACATCTGTGGGGCATGGCACAGAAATACAAATGGAGTGTATGGTAAATTGTTTGTAAAGATGCATGCGACAATTCCTTCCATCCCTCTCGTCTTTCTGCAAGGTGACTTTGCCACTCTTCCCATCAAGCAGTGGGGGAGGATAAAAACAGGGAGGATCTATGTTTCCTGCCTTGAATCTGGGCTGGCTTTGCGACTCGCTTTGACCAACAGAACGTGGCAGAGTGACTTCTTGTGAGTTTCAAAGCTAGGCCTTATGAGGCCTTGCACCTTCCGTGTTAACTCCCTTTGAATGGAGCTCTGAGACTGCCCTTTGAAGAAGCCTCCTAGAGGAAGTAAGGCCACACGGACAAGAACCAAGCCAGCACCAACTGCCAGACATGTAACTGAGTCCATCATGGACCTTCCAGGCCAGGCGACTGTCCAGCTGAATGCAGCTATATGAACGAGCCTAGGCAATATCAGCAGAGAAATCCCTCCCGAACACATAGAATCATGAGAAATACTAATCACTCTTGTTTCAGGCCTCTAACCTTTGGGGGAGTTTGCTCCACACAGCAAAGGCTAACTGAAACCAAGGCCCACATGCCATAACCTAAATATTTAAAAGATATATTTACAATATACCTTCATAAAGACCTGGAAGGCCAGGTATGAATCCTTGAGCCCCTTGGCATTCAGTACAGCACTCAGAGGTAGAAAGCCCTAAAAGGGACCCACACAGGCCCTGACAGGAGGCTTGGGCCGTCTAGCAGGGAATTCTGGGTTGTAGGAGAGGGCTCCTGACTTGGCCTCACAGCCTCCTTAACTAGGGGAAAGGCATGGCCAGAGGAGGGCACAGTGAGGTGTTCTAAATGTGGGTCCCAGGGCAAGAACCACACTTGCCCATGTCTAGGGGCAGAACTGAGTATTTGTGTAAGTTAAATTATTAAGTTAATAATTGTAAGGACATGACACACTAGACTTATCTACCATTTTTTCCTCTTTTGTAAGCCCACACACTATTACATATGAAAGACAGTCAATAGGTAGGAAATTTGTACATACTTAAATCTATATCCATGAGCTTTAAAAAAAAAAATCTTTCATTACAAAATGAGAAGTTTCCAAAATTCCTAATATTGAACTCCAACTCTCTTCCAACCGTCACACAATTGCTGGCTACCACTCTAGCACAATGATATGCATCAATTGATTTAAAAAAAAAAAAGGCAACCAGTATTTTTAATGACATTGGAAAGATGACATTCTGGGTAATTTTCACACTTTAATTAATGCCAGAATACATTTCTGTTTGAAGTAATGAAAACTCAAATGAGTTTTTAGCTAAATATGAATTAATTGCCAAAAAAAGTATAATCTGCATAAATTTAGATATGCATATTACAGTTTGGTTACATGTGTGGTTCTTCTAGGTTTAAAATAAGGATATATATTCCTCTAGCCTACACTTTCTATGAAAATTTCAAACAGCTTTTTGTCCTCGATGAATAATATACAAACATCCTAATTTCTATAGGACTTCAAAATCCCCACCATTTTCAAACCTCCTCCCCCCCAAAAAAAACAATCAAAGCAAAAAATTGGCTTAAAAGTTTGATAAATTTAAAATTGGGTTACTATTTTCATCTTTCAGAATAAATTCAGTTGTCTCCAATCACATTTTTATTTACTGCTACTATTTTATCATTAATATTTAATATGCAAATATGCTAGGACACACAAAATCTTCATTTCAGTTTGTATTTATAGTTATTTCTGGCTGTGCAGCCACAGAAGGAATCTGCTATGTGACACCTCAGGGACATGGATCAGACAAGTTGCAGTCCCACACAATAGTTACAGTCACACAGAGGAACCCTCACACACATTTTTATTCACATAAGCACACTGTTTTCTGGCCGCCTTCCCAAACCTCCTCCTGCCCCCAACTCTCAAATGTATCCTGTCCATCTCCTCAGTCTTCTTGCAGGTACCTAGAAAACTGCAAGATCAGCTCTGACCTCAGCTCTGATGTTAAGTGGGGGAATACTTCACTCACACTGAATTTGGAACTGAGCCCGCTGAGTGGGAAAATTCTAGCTTCAGGCTCCCAATCCATCATTCACGATTCACAGCTGGGCACAGGGATACACTTTCTACAGCGGAACTGTGACTTCATACTGCAAGGGACCATAGTTGTCAAGACACCAAAACTCCTTTCCCCCTACTCAGCTCCAAAGAGAAAACCCAGAGTGTCTTGTTTTACTAAAAGAAACATGATGATGAAAGAAACCTGTGAAACGCCAGGCTACGTGTTCCCTCAAGTCATTGCATTTAAGGTCAATCGTTATCCGGTCTCCAGCCGCTGTTTATGTAGTGGAGGTGGAGGCACCACCCTGTATTACCAGCCTGAGTTTTTTTTTTGTGAGGAAGATCAGCCCTGAGCTAACATCCGTGCTAATCCTCCTCTTTTTTTTGCTGAGGAAGACCGGCTCTGAGCTAACATCTATTGCCAATCCTCCTCCTTTTTTTTCCCCCAAAGCCCCAGTAGATAGTTGTATGTCATAGTTGCACATCCTTCTAGTTGCTGTCTGTGGGACACCGCCTCAGCATGGCCGGAGAAGCGGTGCGTTGGTGCGTGCCCGGGATCCGAACCCGGGCTGCCAGTAGCAGAGCACAGGCACTTAACCTCTAAGCCACCGGGTCGGCCCACCAGCCTGAGTTTTTAAGTTGAATCAGGGCTCAAGGGAGAGGGGGGTGGTGGTAATAATAATAATAAAATCATTAACAGTGAGCCTTTCCTCTGTGCCAGGAACTCTGCTAAGCCCTTTTCAGGCAGTATAGCCTCATGACAGACTCTGGAGCCAGACCACCTGGGTTTGAATGCCAGCAATACCATGGAATAGCTATGTAACCTCAGGCAGGTTACTTAACCTCTCTGTGTCTTAGTTTCCTCACGTGTAAAATAGGGATAATAATAGCACCTCATAGGATTTTCATGAAAATTAAACCAATAAATACATGTAAAGTGCTTCGAACAGTGTCAGGCACATTGCCAAATAAATACGGTTGCCAGATAAAATACAGGATGCCTAGTGAAATTTGAATTTGAAATCTGAATACTGTTATAGTATAAGTACATACCAAATATTGCATGGGACACACACAAAAACAGCAGTCATTGCATATATGCAATTTACATTTAACTGAGCATCCTCAATGTATGTATGTAGTTAATTCTGGCAACCATACATATAAATTTTTGCTATTACAATTCCACAAACACTTATCTGAAACTCTTGAGGCCAGATACGTTACAGAGCTCATAGATTTTCAGATTCTAGAAAAGTAACACAGTGCATATACCACAGATTATATAATACCTCCAGCAATGTCTAGAGTGGCACTCCTGAAGCAAGCACATTACTAACACTATAGAGAATACATGCATACTCTTAGAAGTGGGATAAACAGAGTCTAAAACAGCCTCACGTGAATTATGTACCACTTATGCTTCCACAGGAATGGATGTTGGGTCCAGTCTTGCCAACTGAGAGTTACGATGCTCTCTGGGTTTGGGGTTAAGGATTGGGCATTGTGGACCTGGATTATTACTACTACCACTATTGTTATTTTCTTCTATTCTCACAACTAGTATGATAAGTAAAAACTGTTATTCCCATTTTACAGATGGTGAAACTGAGGCTTCAGATGGTTATTTATTTAGCCCAGGATCACGGGCCTTATAAGTAGTCAGATCATGCTTCAATCTCAAGTCAGCCTTTCTGCCCTTATCTACTATCATTAGCATCTCTTTTCCCTGTTTCTTTGTATTCTTTTTCCACCTCTCATTTGGAAAGAGGGACTAGGATAGAAGGAAATAGACACGAGGAGGAAAGGAGAGTTATGGAGAGAAGGCATCTCACAAACGGTTGGCACCTGCTCAGAAAAGGTCCAGAAGGCGACGAAATACTTCCTTCCTCTGCAACGCACGCGGCGCCCACGCACGCACGTGGCTTCTTGTTCAAGACCTTCCCTTGGCCATAATTCTGCGGTGTGTACTCAACAGCTGTCTTGCAGACCCCTGAGCATAGTGAGGTTCATGTTACACTAAAGAGGATTGTGGCCTTGGTGAGCCTTTCGCTACAGACACAGCAAAAATATTTTTTTCAATATTAGCCATTCGCCGATGTGAAAATTAAAGACAGCAAGGCAAAGCACACTAGCTGGCAGGAGGCGACATTATCAAATGTCATTCTGTAAGTTTTACTCTTGCATGATTGTGATTCGTAATAAAGAGACAAAACTAACAAAGTGGCCCTCTGTACAAAAAGTGGACCAAACCCAAATTGAAAATTTGAGTTCAAAAATTTCAATTTCGCGCATCTGCAAAAACCCTACCACAACAAAAGCACAAGGTGACAAACTCTAAAACCTGTCCTCTGATCGTCCCACCTGGTGCCCCACCCTACTCTAGGTCATCCTCACCACAGGCGAAAACCCTAGGTCACCTGCTAAAGCTGGGAACAGGAAAGGACCCGGGAACTCCCGAATCTTTCTCACCCTCACAGGGACGAGATCAAGAAACTGAAAGTGTTGTCTAATCCCTAGACTCTAGTAGGTCTAGGGTTATGAAAAAAGGGCAAGACAGGACCAGGGTCAAAGAGTTACCTGGCATGGCCTCATGGCACAGATAGAGAGGAGCCAAACATGAGCTTGAAGCCCAGCCCTGCTGCTAACACAGGATGTGACCCCAGGCAAGTTATTTCGTTTCTAGAAGCCTGCATTTCCTCATCTGTAATTGGGCCTGGTGATAGCATCGACTTCATGGGGTTCTTATGTAGATTTTATGAAATGGCATGTGTAAGTCACTTAACACATCGCCTGGTTAAAAAAATATATAGATCACTTAAGGATGGGACAAAAATGATCTCTAATAACATAATTATCTTACCCATTGCCTTTGTATAAGGCCTCAGAGTTTAAAAGCTCTTTCACCTAAGTCTTTCCCGGCTCAATAAATGCCACCACCCAACCACCGCGAAAAATCTAAGCACCATCCTTGGTTCTCTGCATTGTCTCACAGCCCACATCAAAGCCTTCAGCAAGCCCTCTGTCTCCTAAACCCTCTAGTCTCCATTTCCATCTCTCGAATTCAAGACAGCGTCCATCACCTCTCACCTGGCTTACCAAAATAACCTCCTTCCTGAGCGACTTATTCCCTTCTTGCTCCCCATGGTCTCTTCTCCACCCAGAAAGACTCCCCTGAGTCTAGCTCCCCACAAAGAGATCTTTTTAAATGCTAATAAGATCATGTCTCTCTCTTTCTTAAAACCCTCCAGAGGCTTTTGAGCACACTTAGGAAAACCCCAAACTCCCTGGCACCTAGGTTCCTCACTGACTCTCATCACCTGCGCTCTGCCCCTTACCCAGCAAGCTCTTCCCATTCCTCAAGTCCGCCAAGCTCTTTCCTCTACGGGACCTTTGCCTGAGCTGTTCCCCCCACCTGGAAAACCCTTTCCTCCGCCTTCACACAGCACATCCCTTCTCATCATTCAGGGTCACTTCAACGTCATTTCCTCAATCAACCTAGCCATCCTGTCACTTGCCATCACATTATTCTATTTTAATATTTTCATTTTCTACATAACATGTACCACCAGCTGATATTTTTCTTGTGCATTGATTGCCTTGTGTGTTTGTCTTTCTTCCTTTACCTGGTCATTTTACTTCACTGCTGTATTCCCAAAACCTAACTCGGTGCCTGTAGTGCAATAAATATTTGGTGAATTCATTCATTAATCTCTTAAGGCCAAGAGGAAAGTGAAAGGGCCATGTGCTTAACTTTGCCTATGTCTTTCCCTTTGGAAAACACATTAGTGTCCCTGCCCACTTAAAGAATGGGAGTGGGGGCTGGAATCTAGGTCCCGCAAATCTAGGCCCTAACCCTGGTTTATGGAGGGAATCTAATAGCTATGGCAAAACTGCGGCAACTTTAAGCACTCATCTTCGCTTTGGGGTACCCACTGATACACGGCCTGGTCGCTTCAAGAAAAATGACTTGTAATGTGGAATAGAAGAACCCAAAGGGATGCCAGGTGACAGTGGAAGCATGCATTTACAGAGGGTCCCTCCTTAGATGCAGACAGGTCAGACCACCTGACCAGAAGATACAGAAAAACTGCTTCAGATAAATAGGAATCTATATCCAGCTGAGGCCATAGGAAGGGCGATGGTGTCTGTCTTTGGTCTTAAGAGAGGCCATTCAGCCTTCCGAGCCCCTTCCAGATTTCCTTATAATGATTTGAGTACCACACAGCTGTTTTTTGCAAGGAAAAAGAAAACAGGAAAACTATACTCCGCGACTTCACACCGAGACTTGAAAATAAACTTAAAATTTCATCAAAATTACATTTCGTACTTGGTAAACCTCAAGCAGACAGGATACTAAAAATACTACCTGTTTTCTCTTCCGCTTCCCAAGGTACCATAATTATAACTTGACACAGGATGGGAAACTGACTTACCAGCTTCGATGCATTCTGGCTTCAGGCAGTACTCCTGTTTAGGTTGGAGACTTAAGAAACCTTGACTCACTGAAAAAGACAGACCAAAATAAAGAAATGACTGGCTGGTAGCAGACCACCATCAGGTAACCCACCGTCAGACACATGCGCAAGACATTTGGTATCAGTTCATCCTTCTCAGAATTGACGCTGAATTCAAAAATCCGGTTGGCTCCATATCACAGAACCAGACTCTGGTCACTAGCTAAGTAACCTTGGTGAGACTCTTGGTTGCTCTGAAACTCGGTTCTCTCGAACATAAGACGAGTGGGCACAACTAGACCAGTACTTTCTCAGAGTGGTGTCTGGGGGCAGCCGCATCACCTGAGAGCTTGTTAGAAATGCAAATTCCTGAGCCCCAACACAGACCTACTGAATCAGAAACTCTGGGGTGGGCCCAGCCCTCTGCATTTTAACAAGCCCTCCAGGGGATTCTGAGGCACTCTCAAGTTTGAGAACCACTGGGCTAGATGATCTCTGAAGTCTCTTCCATCTCTGATTATCTGTGGTTTAAGTCTCATAATTTCACTCTTTTTGTTTACAATTACATTCTTGTTTTAGAGATGGGAAAATTGAAACATAAACTACGTCATTTGGAGCAAATCCAGAATGGAAAGTGAAAGCTAGCATGTGTGGCATTTAAAATTCTGTATCTTATCTAAACCATCCATACAGATATGGCCCCAAAAGACAGAGGAGGGGGTAAGAATATGCTGTATATAACTCAGTCATCTAGCAAGGAAGTCATTATCTGCCTGCCCATACGCCACACACCCTCCTCCCACCAGGCCCAACCTAGTTACCAGACAGATGCAGCTTTGTGGCCCAAGCTTCCAACTACTTCCACCAAAACAAAACAAAACAAAACCCTTGTGAGATGGAAGCAGCTTTTCACCAATGGCTTAATTTCCCCCATCTGGCTGCAACATTATCTAAATGGATTTCTGCAGGAGTACAGAAGGGTGCCCTATTTGTAAACTCCAGGTAGCACCTGGTCATTAGCAGATGTGAGTTGAGATTTCAAAAATATTCTTCGTAGCCAAGGAAGTTGTGGGGAATTCATTATTGCTGGACTCTGTGAGCAGAAATAAGGAATCATTTGGAGATATGGCTATGGGGAGATGGATGGTGGGGAAGAGGGGCCAAGACCTTTTGTGGCCTCCTCAACCGAGAAGCAGGATCAGGAAGCATGGCGGTACCTTTATTTCTGCTAGAGATGGAAGACCTGTACATCACTTGCCAGTGTGGCGATTTGTATTATTTATTAACCCACATTCTGAGAAGAGCCTGCTTTTTCTTTGTTCTTTTCTCTACTGCCATCCTCCAAACAGCCTTTATACTTGTGTTACGTTATAGATTCAAGAAAACTGCTTGTGAAGTATCTCAGTCCTATTTTTAAGAAAATTATCTTAGCAAAAGGTGTGTTTTGATTTCTTTAAAAAGCAAAAAAAAAAAGTTAGGAAAAATATATATGAGCAGCATAAAGATTGGTATGGAACAATTCGATATGCCTGGGTGGTAGAACCATGGGGGAGATTTTCCTTCAGTCTACTTCTATATGTTTGCCAAATGTTCTTTTTTTTTTTTTTTTTTGAGGAAGATCAGCCCTGAGCTAACATCCATGCTAATCCTCCTCTTTTTGCTGAGGAAGACCAGCCCTGAGCTAACATCTATTGCCAATCTTCCTCCTTCTTTTTTTCCCCCCAAAGCCCCAGTAGATAGTTGTATGTCATAGTCACATCCTTCTAGTTGCTGTAAGTGGGATGCGGCCTCAGCATGGCCAGAGAAGCGGTGCGTCGGTGCACGCCTGGGATCTGAACCCGGGCCACCAGTAGCGGAGTGCGCACACTTAACCGCTAAGCCATGGGGCCGGCCCGCCAGATGTTCTTTAATGAGCATGTGTTATTTTTTATAATGGAAAAATAAACTTTATTGTAAATAATATTCTTATGATTCTGGACAATACCTTCTTGATACTAGCCTTATTTTATTTTAGAAAAAAGATAATGAAATAGTTAAAACTTACTCCTTTCAAGGTACAAACTTCCAGTTATAAAATAAATAGGTCATGAGGATGTAATATACAGCATGGTGATTATAATTAATAATACTGTATTACATATTTGAAAATTGATAAGAGGGTAGATCTTAAAAGTTCCCAGCACACAAAAACAGAATGTAACTATGTGTGGTGATGGATGTTAACTAGACTTATTGTGGTGATCATTTCACAATATATACTGAATCATTTCACAAAAATATTGAATCATTATGTTGTACACCCGAAACTAATATAATGTTATATGTTAATTATATGTCAATAAAAAAAATTTTAAGGAATTCCTTTCTGGAAAATAGTTCTTGACCCAAAACCTCTAAGGAAGCAGAACTAAAATCAAATATCTTTACCTGATGATGAGTAAAAGGAAGGTTTAAGTTAAATTAATTGGGACACAGGCAGACCCAACTCCTCAAGGAAGAGCATTATATCCATAGGGGGTAATCTTAAGATCCTGCAAATAAATAAGGGTCAACAAGCCCAGATAATGTGAAGATGTAAGTGAATGAAAGTGACAACAAAGAAAATAATTTTAATATAAAAAATGAAAATGTTACTTCTTACTGGTTAGGAGCTTTTAAAGAAACTTAAAGAAGTTTGGTTTCTCATTTTAGATTTCTGTATAACCAGCAGAAATGACCTCAGAGGGGCCGGCCCCGTGGCTTAGCGGTTAAGTGCTCGCGCTCCGCTGCTGGCGGCCCGAGTTCGATCCCGGGCGAGCACCGACGCACCGTTTCTCAGGCCATGCTGAGGCCGCGTCCCACATACAGCAATTAGAAGGATGTGCAACTACGACATACAACTATCTACTGGGGCTTTGGGGGGAAAATAAATAAATAAATAAAATCTTAAAAAAAAAAAAAAGAAAAAGAAATGACCTCAGAATGCAGTGGAGTCATCCACAGATGGAGAACATGAGAATGACCATAAAGTGGGGGTCAGCACAGCACAGCCCACGGGCCAAGTCCAGTCCACCACTTGTTTCTGTACAGCCCACAAACTAAGAATGGTTTTTACATCTTTTAATTGTTGGAAAAAAGTCATAATAAGAATAACTCTTCGTGACACATGAAAATGATCTGAAATTCAAATTTCAATGTCCAGAAATCAAATTGTATCAGAATACAGCCCTGCCCATTTGTGTACATATTGTCTATGGTTGCTTTTGTGCTACAACAGAGTTGAGTAGCTATAACAGAGACAGTATGGCCCAGAAAGCCGAAATATTTACTATCTGGCCCTTTACAGGAAAAGTTTGCCAACCATTGCATTTGAGAAACCGATTGTGGAGAGGAAGGGTGGGGGGAAGGAGGAGGAGAAGAAAGGATGCTTTAAAATAAACTAGCTGTAGGCATACAGTTCCACCTGACGTCTTAAATCCTAGTGCTCTAGGTTCTCTGAGACCACCCAAGGCCAGTGGCAATCACTCTTACTGTAGAAGGACTAAGGTTTAGAAAAGAGATTGCCCCAGAGCCTAAAATACAAAGAAGAGGTAGAGAGGAATGCTAGAAATTGCAGACAAGTGACTAAACGTGGACAGGCAGAAAAATATACCACCAAGTCAACCCAGAAGCACCTGGAAGAGAAGAGGACCTTAACCAGAATATTGTCGTGAAGAGCACTGCCTGACAGGTCCCAGGAGATTTTCAGACAAGGACTTTGCCAGGTGCAGGGTGGAGGTGGGTGGCAGAGCCTGGGGGACTAGTCAGTGAAAACGGAAGGGGAGAAGGGAGGAGCCTGAAATAGTGCAGAGACATTTGACAAAAATACCATTTATGTTTTAATATGAGAGTGTGCGTTTATTTTAAAGCAAATGTCTCTGAATATATACACCCAAATGGATGTGGTCACCTGAAGCAATGCTTCTCAAACTTTAATTTGCAAATGAATCACCTGGGGATCTTGTGAAAATGCAGATTCTGAATCAGCAGGTCTGGAGTGGAGCTCAGGCTCCCAAGTGATGCTGATGCTCCTGGTCCGTGGACTACACTTTGAGTAGCAAAGATGTAGAGAGGCCTTATTCTATAACATCATTAGAGATCCTCTTAAAGATTCATGGTGAGAGCTAGGTTATTGGGCACATTGGAAAGTTATTTTTTCTATTTTCCTATTTCATATGGGTAAGGCCTCCTTACCCATAATAGCATTGCCTGGCTTGATGAACTGTACTGTGCTCTAAAAACTTTAGAGCTGATCCCAAAGAATCATCTTCTCTCGAAGAACAAAGGTTTGCTGCCATCAAGAATAGTCCAACTCGGGCCGGCCCCGTGGCTTAGCGGTTAAGTGCGTGCACTCCGCTGCTGGCGGCCCGGGTTCGGATCCCGGGCGCGCACCGACGCACCGCTTCTCCGGCCATGCTGAGGCTGCGTCCCACATACAGCAACTAGAAGGATGTGCAGCTATGACATACAACTATCTACTGGGGCTCTGGGGGAAAAATAAATGAATAAATAAAAATTAAAAAAAAAAAAAAAGAATAGTCCAACTAATATCTTACAGCCTCAGAATGTACTAATAACAGTGGAATTTCAAAAAAAGTTTCAAGCAGCAGTAACATCATTAAAAAGAGTGCATATTTCTACATAAACAATAATCATTTAGATTTTTAAGTTTGGGAGTGTTTGCAAAACACAAATAGTCTAACTTTGTAGTCACTTCCCACATAGTATGTAGTCCCTTGGCATGCCCATATCATCTTTCCTCTAGTTTTGAATGTCAGGATAGGACGCTTGCCTAAATCCCAAGTACCAAGAAATCTCACAACAGTTTTCGGGAGCCGCAAATTCAGTTGCAGGAGTAGGAGGTTTAGCTGTACCAGAAAGCAACAAACTCATCTAATTTCCTAAATCTTCAGCCACAGAAAACATGGAAAGATGGTTTGCTCATTTTAGCAGAGTTTTCAACCACACAACCCTAACCCTTTTCAAGTTTAATTACTGGTTTTTCCCTGCCAAGATAAACATGGCCTCCTGCATCCTGTATGTGCCAAGGAATGTTTCCAAGCTTGCTACATTTCAAACTGCACCTAGAATCTCCTAAGTATAGGGCTTGGTCCTACATCACTTGCAAGCTAATGAAATAGTACAAGCTGTATGAGAAAAATACAAAGGGTAATAGTCAAGAGTTCAAAACATCTAAAATTTTAAAATGTCCCTCTCCCCTTTTCAAGAAATTTTATTCTTTTTTATAGGAATATGCTTTTATCATCATATATACTCTCTGGGTACATCATTCTCACCAAGTCATTAAAATAATTGAATCACAATGTTTTCAAATCTTGGGAGGAAAACCTCTGTTTTCCTTCATATTAATTTTTCAATCTAATAGAAAGGCAGAATTAAAATTTTCTCCCACCAGAGTCACTGTACTAGAAAGGAATTGAAGAATACCATTAAAGGTGAATTTTTACAGACTGATTTGTATTTTGTGAGTTAAATTTCATGATTCATTCAGGCAAACATTGACAAAAGTCAAAGGGAAAGAAACTCCAGCATGGTTTTGATCACAATGCAAAGTCTCTCTTCACAAAACAAATGAAAGTATCTGACTATGAATTCATAAACACTCATTTTGCTAAATGTAATGCATAAAATAATGTTTGCCCGGTGCAACCAAATCCTCCAGCCACCGGAAACCACTTTACACCCATTTAGTATTCTGGACTAATGCATTTGGTACTTGGGTGTGTTTATTTATTTAGCCTCCTAAAGAAAAGGCTTCTTTCCACCTGCATATTTAATAGAAACTAAGGATGCACCACCTACTAACACAAGCAAACAGCCGTCCACCTGCATCCTGTCAAGGTTGCCAGAATAAAGCACAAAGAAACGTCACTGCAACCACCCAGTTCCCTGGCCTCCAGCGCCCCACTTACCCAGAAAGAGGATCGTGCCCAGCACCAGGGTGCCACCAATGGACACGACCAGGGCTATTCGAGTGCCTCTGTTGGCCGTCTTTCCAGTCTCCATGCTGCTCCCTGCTTCTGCCTCCATCAGGAAGGACGCAGAGGCCACGCAAGAAGAAAGTTGCTTTTCGTGGTTTGGTGGCTGGTCTCAAGAGTCTGTTAGGCGTTGACATCCAAGGTTCTCTTGCTCTTCTACTAATGGACAGCTTAAGAAAATTCCCGTCAGGAAATCTGCCCTCGCTACCCTTTCTCAAATAGTTCTTCACAAATGAAATAAAAGAAACCCAAAATATTGGTTGCCTTGGCTTTCCCCCTGACCAGACAAAACAAACAGTGGTTGCTTTATCTTGGTGCTCTCCCCCCAGCAAAGTCCCTCTCAACCGATTGTTTGGCAGGCTCTTCTCTCAGGCGTTCCGAGTGTACATGTTTTATTATGTTGCTGAACAGATGTTTTAGCTATTTAAATGTATAGTCACTTGGGGAGGAAAAAATAATTGTCTTTATCAAAACTGGATTCTCGTCAAACTCCCCCAAACCATGATAAGTTAGGTGGCGAGGATTCTCCGGACCCACTTCAAGGTCTCAATGAAGCACGTAATTCTTTTGCAATAATCATTCTGCTTGCCTGAATTGTCCTCATCAGAGATATTCTTTCAGTGTGCAAGTCCCTTTTTAAAGCCTTCTAAGAGTTCCTGGGATATCCTGGAGCATTTTATTTTAGGAACTTTGTGTATGACAGCATGTGCCAAAAGTCAGAGTCATAGTCCAGTGCAGTGCAAAGTAGCAATTAAGACAACCTACAGAGGCTGATGGTTTGGACTAGAACTTTTTTTTAAGGAAGAAGAAAAAGCACTTCCTCTGTAGTACTAAGAATTGTACAAAAGATGGGTAAGTGTTCAAATTAAGCTTATTAGCACCCACAAAAAGACATGGTAAAATATTTTTTTCCCTGCATGTTTTGATGAAAAGTGCACCTGTGTATTTTGTCCTCCAAGTCCCACCAACGCAGCCATTGGTTAGTATGTTTTTGTGTTTACATAAATCACCCCTTTCAGCAGATTCCCCAGGATGAATTCAAAGGCAATCGGTTTCACTGGAAAGACCGATTAATGACTGGGTCTTTGATTTCTTTGGTTATGCTAACGATTTAAATTATGAAAATATGCTTTCTTCGTGGGGAAGGGCAACTGATATTCCAATCTATTGAAATGATATAGATTTTATTATCCAATGATATAAATATCACTAATTGGCAACACAATTACTACCTACCTGTTTTTGTTTGACTGGAGGTCATGGGACAGTGGGAGTGGGGGTGGAGGATTCAGCTACATCTAGAAATCAGTAGAGCACTTTTCTCATGCAAAACTTGTGCCCGTGGCCCTGAGAGTCACCCCAGAGCTCAGCAGAGACTGATGAGCCCAGTATAACATGGCCACACGTTCATGGTCCCGTCTGGCTTGTTTCCATCAGACCTTAGACACTTTGCATGGGATTCTCCCAAGGTTTTAGACTTATTCCACAACACATCCTACCTTACTTTCTGCTCATTTCATGTTGCCCCTGAGTCAGAAAAGCATAAGCCTTTGTCCAAATTATGACATCATGGTATGTTGTAGATATTATGTGCTCATTGGCTGTTGGTGCTATTTGGTTGCTGTTGTTCCATAACACATCCTAGTAGACCTTTGGCTCCTAGGATGGGATTCTCCCAAGAGTTTTTGGACTTGACTCCATAATACTTCTTAGACTGTGAGCTCCATGAGGTTGGGAATCATGTCATCAAGTTCGATGCTGCAGCCCCAGTATCTACAGTTCTTTGCCCATAAGAGTGAAGGGAGAAATAGGAGCAAAATCATCCAAGTTAGCACTAGCCATTAGCTCTTAAAAAGCACCTTCAGGAACCTCAGATGCTGGCGTATGAGGATTTTTCAGCCTCTTAATTCCTTCTGAATGCTCAAATGATAATGATACTTCACACGGGCACAGCACTTTCATATCCCATTTTAACCTGATGGGAAACCTATATACTTGATAACAAAGGTATTTTTATCTCTGTTTTGCAAATGAGAACACTGAGACCTAAGGACTGGCCTCAGGTGGCATAGGAAAACCAGGAACTGGATAGATAGCAAGGGGGATCCCTGCCATACACTGCTGTGTCTGCAGCTTGATAAAGCTCCCTGTGCACAGAGGAGAGGACATCCACACCAGCACAACACCAGGGCCCACTTATTCCCCCTTCCCTTCCTTCCCCAAATCTCCTCACATCTTTCCAGGTCCAGACTGACACGCAGTGGTGGCCATGGGTTGCCAGCTGGAGTAGCCTTCACCCTCCTTGGACTGGCAATTTCCCCAGAGGTGAGGGCAATTGGGGCTTTCCCTGAAGTAACAACTATCCATCACTTAGTGACATGAATTCATCCCTGAACACTCAACTGCTAAGTAAAAAGCCATTAACCAAAAAAAAAAAATACTTCCATTAATTGTAATAGGAAAATTATGATGCATTCCATCCCTAAGATATGCAAATGCAGATAGAAAAATGTATTAATTGAACAATGAAAACAAGTCTATAAAAGTAATAAGCTACTTTCAAGATGTTGAAAATAAATTGTTTGTTTGTATAATGTAATGTAATGAAGGTTTATTTTACTCATCAAAGGAATAAAGGAAGATGAGATTGGTGGGAATTGGTAGAGGAAAGGCTGCAAGTGAATCATTCGTTATAAGGTGCATTCTTCATTCTGTGCCATTTTTTGGCTTAATTTTTCATCCTTTTGGGAGATGATGATGATCTTGCACTCAAACTTCACTTAAAAATAATGTTGTCGCACAGAAAAAAAAACCCTTTAGGGCAAAATAAAGAAGTTCAAAGCACAGAGAAATGAGTGCTCACAAAAGATGAACACAAGGGTCTGCAAACTAGGGCAGGTGGACCAAATCTGGCCCACCACCCATTTTTGTAAATAAAGTTTTATTGGAACAAAGTCACGCCCATTTGTTTACATATGGTGTATGATTGCTTTCATGCTACAAGGTCAGAGTTGAGTAGTTTTGCAACATAGACATTATGGCCTGCAAAGCTTGGAATATTTACTCTCTGGCCCTTTACAGAAAAAGTTTACTGACCCCTGAACTAAAGAGTAGTAGAAGATGCTGCCTCTCCACACCCCCTCCATGGCACACATAAACAAAGCAAAACGTTCATCCACACTTGACCTGCTTCTCAAAATCATTCCATTCCTTCAATGTTCCCTGAATACAAACTATTGTGTCAGGGAAACTGGTCAACCTGTCTTTGCCTGAAACTGTAATATTCAAACGACACCATATTATTTAGTGTGTTTTGGGGTGAAAAGTCATTATTCTGGGATAAAAAAGGTTGGAGAAGTTGTCCACAAAATTTTTATAATTTCTCAAGTGCTGTGAAAATTAGTGAACCGAAAAGTCACTGTGCAGGTAAGTCTGTTAATAATCTGGTCTGCACCCACCCAATTGTTTCAGTTAAGAACCTCCAGGGCTATCTTGAGCCTTAACCGGAATTGATGAATCAACAGAAGATTCTTGAGCCTTTCTCAGGGGCCTGGCCCTCTGCGAGAAGACGAAGAAGCCATGCCAGAGATTCCAGACTGGTAAACTGGGCTTGGGCAAGTAAATATGCAAAACCCAAGGGTTTTGCACTAAAGCATGCAGGCCTGGCCGTGAGGTCAGTAAGTATCCAGAGAAATAGAAATCCCTGAGCGCTTAGATTTGTTGGGAAGACTTCCAGCAGGAGGACCTGCAAGAATGGACGGCTTGAGGGAAAAAACGAAGGCTTCTGGGTGGGCCAAAGCCCACCCTGAGATGGGACTTGCCTGGGCATTTACAGCTCTCCCTGTGGGACTCACAGGTAAGAGTATTTATCCAGAGATAACTGAATCCTGCAACCTCAGCCCAACTTCAGTGGCGGGGATGACGACTGAAGCCGAGTCTTAATGCCAGACATGAGTGCATCTGGTCATTATTTGGATGTGCGGAGTCCTCTGTTTCAGGCAGGAAAATCCCATGTGGGCCACAATTTCAGTGAGAAAGAAGGAAATGATTTGAATCCTGAAAAATGCATTCCTCCATCCACTGGAAGGAGGAGGGAGGGAGAGGAGGAGAGGGAGAGGAGAGCTACATGCTGAAAACTCAGAGCTGGCGGGGCTCTGTTATTTGTAGGCAAGTCCTTCAGGCTAGGGAGGGTTCAAATCCCAGGCCTTCTGCTAATGAGACTCATTACTTACATTGTATCTGATCTTTTTAAACATCTTCCTTAACTAGGTGTTCTATCTCCTTTCTCAGATGAGGAAACTGAAGTCTGGAGCTATTAAGTGATTTGCCCAAGGTCACACAGCAGGTATTTGTCTTAAGGCCTGAGGGGTTTCAAATTCCAACCTCTTTTCTCTCTGCCATGCTACTTGATAAATTTGCTTATCTACCTCTGGTAATTAGTGAAGGTAGGCATAGCATGTCAGAATGACACTTGAGCAGGAGGAAAAGCAATAAACTGTGCCTCCTCTAATTCTCTTGTTGAAAAGCCTAATTGTCAGGTTTTATTTCCTTAACAGGAACAACAGCCATCATTTTAATAGCGGGGGAAGGTTTTCAGTTGGGGAACAAAAATAGCAATACACAAATTATCTCCTGATTTGTGGCTACTAGTAAATGAACATTAGGAAGGACATATAAATTTGACAGGCTATCTACCCATGTATTGTACTTGTTCGTTTCTGAGACTAAAGTGGGGTTTTATTCCTTGATATTCGCACCTCCTTGGCCATACAGCTACTATTTCTTCAACATGCACCCACTTTATGTGTATTATTATCAGGCCCTAGAGCAGTCCTATGATAAGGAATCACTTGCTGTGTTTTACTGATAAGGAAACTGAAGCTGGCAGAGGATAAGTAATATTCCCAAGGTCACATGATGGGTAAATGACAGAGCCCAGTTGGAACTCAAATCTATCTGGCTCCTGTTTCGAAATGTACCTGGGATTTGTTTTAATGAGGTACAGTAAGATGACAGACACAGAGACAGCCTTTGAAAGAAGAGTTTATTACTCACGGTTTTCAAGAGGAAGGGGCATGCTGCGCAGGGCCACATGCAGAAACACCAGGGTCTATCAGGCGGCAGAAGGAGTGAGGGGAAAGCATGGGCAAAAGCCTTAATTGTGGGTTTTGAGGGAAGAAATGGGCAAGGCAGGCTAGGCAGCTGAGCAGGCTTAAGATTGGTAGTTATAGTTATTTTTGGCAGGTTCTGGTCTATAGGAGATGTCTCTAGTTGTCTAGTACCCAGCCCTGGGATGATTTAAGTCAGGGGGATAGTGTCCTGGTCTGCAGGAGCCTGATAAAAGGAGGGGGTTGGGGTATGGACTCATGAGATTAGTTGGATTATGCTTCAAAGGCATGCTGGAAGGCAAGTCATTTACTATCTCTAGGAATTAGCTAACCCTGGGAGGGGCAGTCCCTCCCTGGATCCACAAGGCCCCAAGATGTCAAAGAATCACAAAACAAAAAATAAAAACTATGGTTAATACAGCTCCAAAACCTGTAAGACTTTTTCCAAAGCATTCCACTGCATAATACTTTTTAATAACTATTCATCAACTAGAGCTTACATGATACATCCTCACACTGAGCAGACC